GTGGGTCTCCTGTGCACAATTCGATCCCTGGTTGGTTGATGGAAGCAGACAGGGCAGGGTAGGGTGGGGCTCCTGATTAGAATCCCTTTGTCACCTGTGGTGGTGGGAGCAAGCAAGAAGCTCTGTCCCTGGTTCCGCCGAGCCTGGAGTCCAAGGTCTCAGAGAGTTCCACTTATCTTGTTCTGTGGGTCTTCAGTTGTGCGTGGGTCTCGGCCGGAGCTGCCGCGCGGGTCCGGAAAGCGTCCTGGAGTGTGGCGACGGCTGGGTAGTGGAAGTAGTGTCGAGAGTGGAAATCTGCCAGTGGGGTATTTATCTGGGTAGGGTGGGTCTCCTGTGCACAATTCTATCCCTGGGTTGTTGATGGAAGCAGACAGGGCAGGGTAGGGTGGGGCTCCTGATTAGAATCCCTTTGTCACCTGTGGTGTTGGGAGCAAGCAAGAAGCTCTGTCCCTGGGTCCGCCGAGCCTGGAGTCCAAGGACTCAGAGAGTTCCACTTATCTTGTTCTGTGGGTCTTCAGTTGTGCGTGGGTCTCGGCCGGAGCAGCCGCGCGGGTCCGGTAAGCATCCTGGAGTGTGGCGACGGCTGGGTAGTGGAAGTAGTGTCGAGAGTGGAAATCTGCCAGTGGGGTATTTATCTGGGTAGGGTGAGTCTCTTGTGCACAATTCGATCCCTGGGTGGTTGATGGAAGCAGACAGGGCAGGGTAGGGTGGGGCTCCTGATTAGAATCCCTTTGTCACCTGTGGTGGTGGGAGCAAGCAAGAAGCTCTGTCCCTGGGTCCGCCGAGCCTGGAGTCCAAGGTCTCAGAGAGTTCCACTTATCTTGTTCTGTGGGTCTTCAGTTGTACGTGGGTCTCGGCCAGAGCTGCCGCGCGGATCCGGAAAGCGTCCTGGAGTGTGGCGACGGCTGGGTAGTGGAAGTAGTGTCGAGAGTGGAAATCTGCCAGTGGGGTATTTATCTGGGTAGGGTGGGTCTCCTCTGCACAATTCGATCCCTGGGTGGTTGATGGAAGCAGATAGGGCAGGGTAGGGTGGGGCTCCTGATTAGAATCCCTTTGTCACCTGTGGTGGTGGGAGCAAGCAAGAAGCTCTGTCCCTGGGTCCGCCGAGCCTGGAGTCCAAGGTCTCAGAGAGTTCCACTTATCTTGTTCTGTGGGTCTTCAGTTTTGCGTGGGTCTGGGCCGGAGTTGCCGCGCGGGTACGGAAAGCGTCCTGCAGTGTGGCGACGGCTGGGTAGTGGAAGTAGTGTCGAGAGTGGAAATCTGCCAGTGGGGTATTTATCTGGGTAGGGTGGGTCTCCTGTGCACAATTCGATCCCTGGGTGGTTGATGGAAGCAGACAGGGCAGGGTAGGGTGGGGCTCCTGTTTAGAATCCCTTTGTCACCTTTGGTGGTGGGAGCAAGCAAGAAGCTCTGTCCCTGGGTCCGCCGAGCCTGGAGTCCAAGGTCTCAGAGAGTTCCACTTATCTTCTTCTGTGGGTCTTCAGTTTTGCGTGGGTCTCGGCCGGAGCTGCCGCGTGGGTCCGGAAAGCGTCCTGGAGTGTGGCGACGGCTGGGTATTGGAAGTAGTGTCGAGAGTGGAAATCTGCCAGTGGGGTATTTATCTGGGTAGGGTGGGTCTCCTGTGCACAATTCGATCCCTGGGTGGTTGATGGAAGCAGACAGGGCAGGGTATGGTGGGGCTCCTGATTAGAATCCCTTTGTAACCTGTGGTGGTGGGAGCAAGCAAGAAGCTCTGTCCCTGGGTCCGCCGAGCCTGGAGTCCAAGGTCTCAGAGAGTTCCACTTATCTTGTTCAGTGGGTCTTCAGTTGTGCGTGGGTCTCGGCCGGAGCTGCCGCGCGGGTCCGGAAAGCGTCCTGGAGTGTGGCGACGGCTGGGTAGTGGAAGTAGTGTCGAGAGTGGAAATCTGCCAGTGGGGTACATATCTGGGTAGGGTGGGTCTCCTGTGCACAATTCGATCCCTGGGTGGTCGATGGAAGCAGACAGGGCAGGGTAGGGTGGGGCTCCTGATTAGAATCCCTTTGTCACCTGTGGTGGTGTGAGCAAGCAAGAAGCTCTGTCCCTGGGTCCGCCGAGCCTGGAGTCCAAGGTCTCAGAGAGTTCCACTTATCTTGTTCTGTGGGTCTTCAGTTGTGCGTGGGTCTCGGCCGGAGCTGCTGCGCGGGTCCGGAAAGCGTCCTGGAGTGTGGCGACGGCTGGGTAGTGGAAGTAGTGTCGAGAGTGGAAATCTGCCAGTGGGGTATTTATCTGGGTAGGGTGGGTCTCCTGTGCACAATTCGATCCCTGGGTGGTTGATGGAAGCAGACAGGGCAGGGTAGGGTGGGGCTCCTGATTAGAATCCCTTTGTCACCTGTGGTGGTGGGAGCTAGCAAGAAGCTCTGTCCCTGGGTCCGCCGAGCCTGGAATCCAAGGTCTCAGAGAGTTCCACTTATCTTCTTCCGTGGGTCTTCAGTTGTGTGTGGGTCTCGGCCGGAGCTGCCGCGCGGGTCCGGAAAGCATCCTGGAGTGTGGCGACGGCTGGGTAGTGGAAGTAGTGTCGAGAGTGGAAATCTGTCAGTGGGGTATTTATCTGGGTAGGGTGGGTCTCCTGTGCACAATTCGATCCCTGGTTGGTTGATGGAAGCAGACAGGGCAGGGTAGGGTGGGGCTCCTGTTTAGAATCCCTTTGTCACCTGTGGTGGTGGGAGCAAGCAAGAAGCTCTGTCCCTGGGTCCGCCGAGCCTGGAGTCCAAGGTCTCAGAGAGTTCCACTTATCTTGTTCTGTGGGTCTTCAGTTGTGCGTGGGTCTCGGCCGGAGCTGCTGCGGGGTTCCGGAAAGCGTCCTGGAGTGTGGCGACGGCTGGGTAGTGGAAGAAGTGTCGAGAGTGGAAATCAGCCAGTGGGGTATTTATCTGGGTAGGGTGGGTCTCCTGTGCACAATTCGATCCCTGGGTGGTTGATGGAAGCACACAGGGCAGGGTAGGGTGGGGCTCCTGATTAGAATCCCTTTGTCACCTGTGGTGGTGGGAGCAAGCAAGAAGCTCTGTCCCTGGGTCCGCCGAGCCTGGAGTCCAAGGTCTCAGAGAGTTCCACTTATCTTGTTCTGTGGGTCTTCAGTTGTGCGTGGGTCTCGGCCGGAGCTGCCGCGCGGGTCCGGAAAGCGTCCTGGAGTGTGGCGACGGCTGGGTAGTGGAAGTAGTGTCGAGAGTGGAAATATGCCAGTGGGGTACATATCTGGGTAGGGTGGGTCTCCTGTGCACAATTCGATCCCTGGGTGGTTGATGGAAGCAGACAGAGCAGGGTACGGTGGGGCTCCTGATAAGAATCCCTTTGTCACCTGTGGTGGTGGGAGCAAACAAGAAGCTCTGTCCCTGGGTCCGCCGAGCTTGGAGTCCAAGGTCTCAGAGAGTTCCACTTATCTTGTTCTGTGGGTCTTCAGTTGTGTGTGGGTCTCGGCCGGAGCTGCCGCGCGGGTCCGGAAAGCATCCTGGAGTGTGGCGACAGCTGGGTAGTGGAAGTAGTGTCGAGAGTGGAAATCTGCCAGTGGGGTATTTATCTGGGTAGGGTGGGTCTCCTGTGCACAATTCGATCCCTGGTTGGTTGATGGAAGCAGACAGGGCAGGGTAGGGTGGGGCTCCTGATTAGAATCCCTTTGTCACCTTTGGTGGTGGGAGCAAGCAAGAAGCTCTGTCCCTGGATCCGCCGAGCCTGGAGTCCAAGGTCTCAAACAGTTCATGCTTATCTTGTTCTGTGGGTCTTCAGTTGTGCGTGGGTCTCGGCCGGAGCTGCCGCGCGGGTCCGGAAAGCGTCCTGGAGTGTGGCGACGGCTGGGTAGTGGAAGTAGTGTCGAGAGTGGAAATCTGCCAGTGGGGTATTTATCTGGGTAGGGTGGGTCTCCTGTGCACAATTCTATCCCTGGGTGGTTGATGGAAGCAGACAGGGCAGGGTAGGGTGGGGCTCCTGATTAGAATCCCTTTGTCACCTGTGGTGGTGGGAGCAAGCAAGAAGCTCTGTCCCTGGGTCCGCCGAGCCTGGAGTCCAAGGACTCAGAGAGTTCCACTTATCTTGTTTGTGGGTCTTCAGTTGTGCATGGGTCTCGGCCGGAGCAGCCGCGCGTGTCCGGAAAGCATCCTGGAGTGTGGCGACGGCTGGGTAGTGGAAGTAGTGTCGAGAGTGGAAATCTGCCAGTGGGGTATTTATCTGGGTAGGGTGAGTCTCCTGTGCACAATTCGATCCCTGGGTGGTTGATGGAAGCAGACAGGGCAGGGTAGGGTGGGGCTCCTGATTAGAATCCCTTTGTCACCTGTGGTGGTGGGAGCAAGCAAGAAGCTCTGTCCCTGGGTCTGCCGAGCCTGGAGTCCAAGGTCTCAGAGAGTTCCACTTATCTTGTTCTGTGGGTCTTCAGTTGTGCATGGGTCTCGGCCCGAGCTGCCGCGCGGGTCCGGAAAGCGTCCTGGAGTGTGGTGATGTCTCTGTAGTGGAAGTAGTGTCGAGAGTGGAAATCTGCCAGTGGGGTATTTATCTGGGTTGGGTGGGTCTCCTGTGCACAATTCGATCCCTGGGTGGTTGATGGAAGTAGACAGGGCAGGGTAGGGTGGGGCTCCTGATTAGAATCCCTTTTTCCACCTGTGGTGGTGGGTGCAAGCAAGAAGCTCTGTCCCTGGGTCCGCCGAGCCTGCAGTCCAAGGTCTCCGTATTGGGTCCTTAATGCCCATCTAGCCCTGTCATAGAAGTAATGCTCGGTGTCCCTTCCCCAAATACATAATTTAAAAAGCTATTCTGTCCTTCCATTATCATGCAGTGACTAGCAGAACATCTGCATATTTATATGGTGTGCACAAAGGATGAACAGTGATTATTATAAGAGTAGAAGTGTACCCTGCCTGGAAACCTCCCCCGAAGAGTTGAAGAGTATGCTCAGACATGCTCTAACAAGGCTGAGGCATTCAATCAATTTGGAGATTCAAACCAAATGCTGGGAGAATGTAAGATTTAATCTTATTGAGGTTTTGATGAATTTCTAGCTAACCTGTTGCCTGGTTCTTTTATGTACAGCACTGGAAAGCTCCTTAACTTAGTCAGTTTGTGAACCACCGTGATATGACTGTCATGATCAGTTATCAAGATCAAGACTTACTAGGCTACATGTTTAATTTACAGGTCAGACCAGAGAAATGGCAACGGAGAGTGGAGATTGTGGGTGGGGAGTGCGACAGTAAGGAAGAGGGACAATTCAGAGTTGAATACATTGAGGGCAAGATTTTCTACAAGATTTCACAATTCCTTTTTGTTCCACCAGGTGGATGAACAGAGGTATCCCAATGGCTGCTGCAAGATCTCATTGTTCTTTAGGATGAACATCTATTTCCGGAATGATGTAATTGTCAAGGAGTATGTCAGTGGCATTAGTGGTAAGAAGGACTTCATGGTGTTGTAGGTGGAATGTGTTCTATGCCAAGGGAATAAAATGATTTGCCCCTGATCTACATTATTCTTCATGTAGGACTGAGGCCATCTCATTCCACTCCAATTCAGTGGTGCCATGGTTATGAACACAGGGCTTATAGACACAGGCACCACAACTGCAGCCTTAACTTCTTCAGCTGGTTCTACGACCACAGCATTGTAGGATCTACCCGAATAGCAGAGGTGGTATTTCTTTCACCCTTTATTCTTTTTTTCTTTTCCCCCTAACCCACCATGGTTGGGTTCTGAATCCTGACCTGCCTGTGTTGCTTTACCAGATCATCAGTAAGGACCTGTGGCCCAAGCCTCTGCAGTACTACCTAAAGAAGAGGATACCAGTACAAGCAAGTGTGAGAAGGGCAGGTGAGCATCTCTTGGGATGTGTGTTGAAATACGTGAGCTGGAAACTAAGGCACCATCCTATACTATGAAAGTAAGTTTCAGAGCATCTAAGTTGTTCACATCTGGTCTTTTAGTTTGGGAAAATTAGTCAGAAACACTGAAAACTGGAGATCTGGAGTCCTGTAGTGTAAATTGACTAAAGGAGAGTTTATAGTGCAGACTCTGACTCACCAGAGATGGGTGGCATCATGAACATTCATTCAGTCACTCACTGAAAGATGAATTGTAACTCCCCCATCCCCTTTCCTGAGCTACCTTTACCTGGATATCATTTATACCCTCAGACTTTCTGCCACTCCCTTAAATTTCAAATCATGTATTAGTGCTAACCTCCTGAATGAAATGTTTGGCAAGCAATCTAGAGATTGCTTAAATCACCCTTGCTCCAGAGTTTAGGGTGAAGGAAAGAGAGACGTAGAAGGTATAAACTCAAGGATAGAAGGGAAGCAATGAGGAACAGGGACCAAGGGTATCCAAGTACATTGGTGTGGTGTAAAGGAGTGCTGTGGCTAAAAATCCATACCACAGAGATTACAACATTAAAAACTGGAGATCCAAACTTCAGCCACCAAGCTTAAAATTGTGCCTGTTAAGGTGGTAGGCTGGAGTCCTATAGTATAAATTTGACCAAAAATGAGTCTTTAAATGGCAGGCGGAGGGTAGAGGGGAACCCTGGCGGCAGGAAGATGACACTGGTGATGAGTTTGGTGCTGGAACATAGTATACTTAAGCCCTATCAGTGAATAACTCTATAAACCATGGCACTTAATAATATTTTAAAATAATCAAATAAATAAATGAAGCAAGCCACCTTCCAGCTTTTTCAGGAGGGTCCGAATCTCTAGGAAGAGGCTGACCCACTTGACCCCATGTCTTACATTTTGGCCTTCAAAGTAATTCTTTGAAATTTCTCTGGTTTGCTCCTTCATTCCCATAAACATTATTAGAAAACTGGTCATAAAACAAAGATAATAGAGGCCTCTTTCAGGCCTTTTACAGAAGTGGAGAAAATCTGAACGATTACCAATGGGAAAAGGGCCAGGGTGCCTGGACATGGTCCTGGAAAACAAAGTACTAACCATACAGAGAAGTGTGAGTGAATGAATAAGCCTGTATATTCTGTGTGCGTGTGTGTGTGTATGCAGAATCTTTGAAGATATTAGGATATTAATCACCCTTTTTCCTAAAGCAGTGGAAAATGTAAGAGGCTACGTGAGAAGATGAATCATCTACAGTGAGCGTGGATCTCGTGTCTGCAGCATAAGAGGAGAACTGAGATCTCATATAGAAATTTGGATATATCTGCAAACAAATAAACCTAATGCTCCAAGTAGGCCTCTTTTGTTTAGTTCATTGCATCTGGGTTGGCATGAGTTCCATCTAATACATTGTATGTTCCCTTATATTTGGTACTCAGAAATTTTCAGTCCATGGGAATGCTGAGTCTCTCCGGTATACCAGGAACCAGTCATACTGAAGCCAGCATGAGAGAGGCAAACACGGTTTTCCTGGGTACATCACACTGGGATTAGGAAGATGAAATAAGAGGAAGGCCAGTGGGAATTTTGGAGATTCCCTGGGACATAGGGTACATTCAAGAATATGTTCTGATAAGTAGTGTTCTAAAATGTGAATCTTCACAAACGTGATCCACCCATGTTTTTTCCATTGGAGGTGATCATCATGGCATCAACTGTTTTACTTCTGACCATCATGTTCCTTTACGTATTGGTCTATACACACATACACAGACACACACACACACACATTTCCTCAGATAATCAGCCTTTCAGAAATAGGATATAAACAACTTCCATGAAATACTTTGCCATTTGCAAGGAGAGAGAGCATTATGGAGCATGGGGAAAAACGTAGTAAAGATAAGCCTGAAGCTGGGCAACTAAGACCAAGGGAAAAGAAACTTTTCTGAGGAGCAAACAAAGAAAATCACAATAAATCAAAATGACTCATTGCTTGATTTCCCTCAAGAGGCATTGCTGTTTTGCCAAGTGTGGAATTATTTATTTGTTTTCTTTGGTAGAGTAATAGTTTTCTTTGTTGAGTAATGTTCCCCTCTTGACCATAGAGGTCATGTGGTCTAGGGAGTACATTTTTTATTGTACACACCGATTTTCCCTTAGTACTGATGCTGGTGAGTGTCCTTGGGTGATTTATGTGAAGTGGGGAGTGGAGAGGTGCCAGAGGAGAAGAAAAGTCTGCCATTTTCATTCTATGCACCTCTTGCCACTACAGGATCTAGGATCACTGAGTCTGCTCTGAGCCTCTTTGCAGGAAAGGAAAGTCAGTTCTAGACCTTACCTACACCTTTGGGTACATCATCTTTGCCTCTCATAGAGAATTTCAGGAGGAGAGGAGCAGTAAATTATAACAGGTTTTATTTAGAAGCTCTAAGGGAGAGAGAGAAAGTGAGTGAGAGAGAAAAAGGGAGGGAGGGGGTAGGGCGAGGGAGAGAGAAAGAGAGAGAGAGAAAGAGAGAGAGAAAGAGAGAGAGGTGTTCAAGAGAGAATACAAGTTTCTCCAGAGCCAAGAGAAGCCTGGTACACACCTTGGCAGTAAAGTATGAAAGCACATATCTCAAGAGGAGACATGTGAGTGATAAACATGCTCAGGCACCACTTACCACAACAGTAACACATTATTTCAGGTAGCATATGTGTGTGCTTCCTTTGTTCAACTTGGCTTTTATAGGTTTTTTTTCTCTCAAGCTGCCCTAAATGGGACCTTCCTTCCTAGATCTGTTGCTAGGATGGCTGTTCATGGCCTTCTTTGGTATTCATTCCCTGGCTTTTGTTCCTGCTGGAGCTTCTCTCTGAGGGTGGGTCCGGGATCCTTTGGGCCTGTGTTGATGCCAGATAAAAGTCTTATCAGGCTTTAGTTCCTGTATCAACAGGGTGGGCCCTTAAATCCTTAGGGCTGGTGGAACAAAAAATGCATGATGAGATGAGATTGGGGATGGAAGGTGGCTTTCCCTATATACCTGCTATATTTCAGTAGCTTGCTCCATTACCATGTTGACAGCAATGAAAAAATTGCTGGGATTGAGACATTTGTGCAAGATTCTTTAAGCTAAAGATTTCTAGTGGACATTAAGCTGATACACATTTTCCTCATGAACACTGCAAATGAGAATTTCCCTTTATTTTGGGCATGATTGTTTACCCTATATGGAACCCCACAGACACTGAACATTTTCTAGATGCTGTTTATCAGCCTATGCAATGAGGCGAAACAAAAATTCAGAGCACACTGGAAATATGCTGCAAACCCCCTCCAGGGAGCTGTATCTGAACATTGAGCAAAGAATGGCTCTGTTATAACAGAGATGGGGCTTCCCTGATTAGCTCCATAATGGTCTTTCTGCCCAGAAAAAAGTGAAAGCCACTTATATTTCATCAAGAGTGACCAGCTGTACTTTCATGATATAAAGAGCCCCACATGAAATGGACTTTTGCAAGAAAAGTCTTCTGCCTGCAAGCAATGCTTTCACAGGTGGGATTTGATGGTCGAGTTTCAAGGATAGTTGATTTACCTGTCCTCTTCTTTATGCTCTGACAAGGTTCTCACCATCAAAACCTTCAGCTTAATGTAGGTGGGGAGATAGAGAAAGGCCCTTTGCTATGAAGCAAAGTTTCATGGAAGAAGAATTCTAGGAATGACCCAACTTGTGGATACAGAAAGCAAAGGTCTGATAAGACTATCCGCAGACCCTCAGGATATAGGCCTCCCCATGAAATTCCTCTTTTTGGACCTCCCTGGTAAGCTCCTTAGCAACAGACTTTTACCTGGGAAGAGGCCCCACATGGGGACAGGCTGGAGAAACCCTAGAAAGGCCACCTTGAACAAAGGAAGGGCATGCATATGCTGCCTGAGCCCATTTGTGCTTACGCCCACGTGGCTGAGCACATGTGGTGCCCCAGTACATGTGTTGCCCGCATCTCCCCTCTTGAGATGTGTACTTTCATGCTAATCATGTCTAATGCTGGTATGTGTGTAGAGGCTTTCTCCGCCCTTCGAGAAGCCTGTGTTCTCTCTTGAGTATGTTTCTCTCTCTTTCCTCTCTCTCTCTTTCTCTCTCTCACTCTCTATCTCTCTCTGCCCCTCCGCACATAAAAATCCTCCAAATAAAATCTATTTGTTTCACTGCTTGTCTACACCTGAAACTCCTTTCTGTGTGGCGAGACAAGAACCCAGTAACCCTGGGTCCCGGGTGGCAGAGGCAGGTGGGGAGAAAGTGACTGTCTTTCTCCTCCCCGCTTCACATACATCACCTGTGGGGTCCACCGACATCAGATGGCGACCACGAAGGGACTGGCAGTGAAGAAATTCACGAGGAAGGAGGTAATCTGTGGAAAATCTGCTGTGGAGGTATGCTCCCTCGGAAATCTCTAGGGGGGGAAGGGCGAGGAATGTGATAACATCTGTGTCAATATGTGTGTATGAGCACCCTGATAGGTCCTCCTATCAGGCGTGATTTTGTAGCTCCATGACCTGGCACTCTTAAAGTCACAGAGCTCAAGTGGGCTGCCTGCGATTCCTCAGAGAACATATGGTCAATCGTGGCACTGGCATAGCTGCTGGTCGCAAGTCACAACGCTGAACCACAAAGGCTAAGTTCTCCACCGGCCAGGCAAGCATCTGAATGGTCTCTGCAAAGAGGCACCCCTCCTTTGTCTGTCTCCTTCACCATCCACTATGGGAGGAAAGAGAGGAAAGCCCAATAGTGTGAAGATCCTGGGAAACTAAGGCCGATCAATTTATAGGTAGAAATTCCTTTCCCCAAGCAGTCCAGCAGAATCAGCTAGAGGTCAATTCAGACGCTAATGGAGGCAGTCAGCAGGTTTAGCCCTAGGCAAAGTGAGGCAAAAAAAAAAAGGTAAAAAAACAGGCACAAAGTTTGTGGAAGAAAGTAAGTCAGCAGGGAGCATTGGAATATGTGGCAAGCAAGAAAGGCAAAACCTTTCTCTTCTCCCCTTAATAGGCTTCTTGGAAACCCATGGCACTCTAGGTATGGCTCCACAAGCCATGGTCGTGTGGATGCCCGGAAGGCAGGCCCCAGGGATACCTGGTGTGACACAGAACTCTCTAAAGGAGACGTTCTTTCTGGAGAGATTTTTCTGATGGGCCAGCATGCAGTTGTGGTCATGTCCGCGTACTCTCAAGAACCACAACACTATGGGCCGGCATGCAGTTTTGGTCGTGTCCACGCTCTCTCTAGAACCACAACACTACGGGCTGGCATGCAGTTGTGGGCATGTCTGCACACTCTCTAGAACCACAACACTTAAGAAGGGGACAAAGCCCCTTGGGATCAACTATTAGGAGGAGAGCTTGCTAAGGAATTATTCTACCTAGATTTTTCTTTTCTCTCCCTTTCATGGGTTATTACTGAAACTTAGGAGATATGGGAAATTCTATATCAGTACCTAAGTATTCTCTTTTGAGTTGCTCGTTAAAACACCGGAAGAGCCCGCAACTAGGTAGTTTAAATAAGAAGTGTCTTGTTGACCACTGTAACACCACGTGGCCTGAGTATAAGCTAGAACTTGGGGAAAGATGGCCAGTGAATGGCAGTTTGCATTACCGGATCATCTTGCAGTCAGATCTTTGCAGGTAAACAAAGAAATAGGATTATCAAAGCAGAGGAGACAGGGAAATGCAATATCATATGATTAACTGTTTGATATCAGAAACAAAGAAGTGTGTCACTAATGCAGCCTATCCCTATGTCTGGTAAGAAGATACCAGCTCCTTGCCTCAGAACTAGCCTTGATCAAAATTTGGTAACATCTGAAAACCTTAGGTTTCCACTGCTTTGTCATAGTTTATTTTGCCCGCTTATATCAACAAGTGCGCTTTCTTGACCCATTTTTTAACAAACAGGAGACTGTCTGGTTAGGCTGGGAAACGGGGAGCAGTGTTCCCAATCGGCCCACAGGGCTTCTTTGCTCTGGGGACTGCCCTTCCTTTCTCAGTCCATCAGTTTTCTCCCTTCCATTTTTGAAGGATCAGATCGATCCATCAACTGCAGACTTGTGGTCGTCTTTAGTCAGTTCATTGTCTGTCTGTCTGTCTGTCTGTCTGTCTGCCTGCCTGCTTGCTGCGTGTCTGTCTGCCTGCCTGCCTGCCTGCCTGCCTGTCTGTCTGTCTGTCTGTCTGTCTGTCGGTCTGTCGGTCTGTCTGTGTGGAACACTCCAGTGCTGGAACCAGGTTGAAATCAGAAGTATAAATTCTAGAGTAGTCAGTGATAGGCAACTCAGTGATTTAAGGAATACAGTTGTTTTTGGAACTTGCTAGACAAGGTTTAAACG